ATGAAGCTCTCCACAAAGGCAGTCTTTGTGAGTATTCTTCGAAAACGTCATTTTCTTACACGTTTGGTTCGTGAAAAAATTCTTTCAAATAGTCAAGTGTGAGAATATTTTTGCATCAATTAGTTTGACAATTGATTCGAAAAGATGTACTAAGATCAATTGGTATGAAAATATTTTCATAATTGACCACATAAAAGAATTTTTTTATATAGAAAATATTTTCACGGGAACCAAACGTACCATATAGGACTGTCACTAAATGATTTAGGGTCCCTTTTTGGGTCTTCCTCCGAATTGTTCTCTCACAATCTTTCTCATTTGACTCGAAAGACTTTATTTTGTAGAACATAGGGTTTTCTTTTGGGGTTTCTCCATTTTCACCCCAATACACACTCTCTCTCCCCTAATTCAGTAGACCTACAATTGGAACGTCTTTCCAAAGCCCAGTAATAAAACCCATCAACCCCAAATCGGCTGATCCACTTATTGAGCTCCCAAAGGTTTCAAAATTGCAGATTGAGATGCCATTAAAGTTCCTTCAAACAGATGGCGAATTATGAGATTTAGCATCCTACTAGCCCATGGTTGTTGTAGTAGAGAGAGAAGAGGGAGATAAATAAGTTTATAGAATAAAAAGAATGAAAATTGTTTGATACAGCTGCATCCTTATCGAAATAAGTAAAGCCTCACTTTATAATTCATCGAAAAAACTTTTACATTGTTCATCTTGGCTTGGACATTATGGATGTAAAAGAAAAAAAAGGATTTCAAACTCTAAAAACATGGTTATTGTAACATTTCATCCTAAAAATAAGTATTCATAGATCCGCAAGATCTGTACCCCTTTTTGAGTTTTGAATTTTATTGTCGGTATTGACTTAGCTATTCAAATGGACTCTTTTTCCCTACTGATCGAAAGTGATTCATCCCTCCTTGTTTAAGTCATATGTAGGCACTGTAAAGCTCCATGGGTGTTTCATATTATTTTTATTGCTTCCAATTGTCAATACAAACTTGCAAATCACTCATGGTGGATTTGTCACATTTATCGTGAGACAAATATGGTGGCAAATTTACTTACAAAAGCCATTGTTTGGCGCTCTAAGCCTCCAAACTTTTACCGGTGTTGTGCAATTTCCTTATAATAGGGCTAAAACATAATGAGTTATAATTTTTTTGTATTTTTATTAATGAAAAACGGGTCGAGCTTTCTCCCCCACTGATTTATTAAGAAAAAAAAAAGAATTTCACTGTCAGTGTTGGAAATTGATTTTAGAGCCATCATGGAGATTTCTTTTGCCGGAAGTACTTTTTGCACGAGGATTTGAGGTGAAGCTTTATTGTGTTTTCATATAGACTAGGCCTTATAGAAACCTCATTAAAAAAAAAAAAAAAACAGAATGAGAGAAGGGCATACTGTTATAGAATGACATAGGAGGATTTGAATGGGTGGAAGGAGAGAGGGCGAAAAGGTCAAAAATAGAGTCCTGGTTTGAAACATATTGACTTGTCCTCTAAATTAAAGGTGCTGAGATTTTTTATCAATTCAAATGGACGGTGTAAAACTCACGTAGACCCACAACTTTGTATTGAAAATACACATCATTATTCTCTTATTTAAAATATTTGTTCCAATCTTCTAATCGGAAGTGTACTTCAAATGGTTTTATTACCATTTTTAACTTGGGATTGCATACTATGAGACCATTTGTCATTATTATAGAGAAGTCATAATCACTCCTAACAAATTTGATGGCTTAACGTGTGTCACAAAGTTCAAAAAATTTAAGTATGCAGAGGATGGTGAAAGTGAGACCGATAAAGCGGTTCTGCCTCCTCTCTTGAGGAGTTTAAAACTGAATTTTGATGAGAGCTAAATGGGCAATCGAAAGCCTTCGAGATAAAGAGGAATTTTGAGAAACTCAAATGAGGATATTATTTTTTGTTATTTGGGCCCGTGTAGAGTGAGAATATCAAAGGAAGCTGAATTAGAAGCACTAGAGCAAGGAGTAAAATTGATTATTCATAAGGGTTTTCAGATCCCTCATACTTTTGAAGAATATTCACTCAATGTTATAACCTGGTGTAATCATGTATCAAGGCCTAAACTGGTGTAATCATGTATCAAGGCCTCAGTGCCTAAAAAAGAAGTGGATGAGTATAATGGATAGTTGTACATCTTTGTAGATATCTTTTCAGCATTATAGGGAGACAAATGACATTGCGGATGGCTTAGCTAAACGAGGAGTGGACAAGCTTGCTTTTCTTGTTTATAATGTACTTGTGTCCTGAGATGTTGTACTTTGAACGATGAATAGAAGTAATTGTCAAAAAAAAAGAAAAAACAATTTTTTTTTTTTTTTCAAACTTTGACTCTAGTCAATGACATTTAAAATCAACACATTTAAAAGGACTGACATGAATAACTATAACCTCTTTATACTATAAGTAAATGGCTAGTTTGTACACTCTTCCTTTTTACTCTACTTGGGAAACAACTTTTCAGCAGCATATCCGTCTCCACGCCTTTTTGAAGCCTAACCACCGCAAAATAGCACCTCAAATAGAAATAGGGAGAGGAAAAGAACATGGTTTGCGGGAAAAGAAAAATATGTTCTTTTTTAATTAGAAAGTAGTAATAACATGAATACTTCTAAGCAACAATACAAACAGACTGTTGTGATGTTTTCCTATCTTTTAATACAAATGAGGGAGTTCATTCATTCCTAAATCCAAATTGAGTGAGTTCTTTCGATCCTAAATTCAACTGTCATGGCTTTTATCACTAGTCTGAGTGCTCTTATAAAAGGAATATTTTCCCTTGACTCTCTCTTACCTACTTAATCGTGGGATAGTGCAGGGAAAAGGTCAGAACTTGAATCCGTGGGATCATTTGGATTTGCTTACAGTGCTTTGTGTCTGAGAATTCACATGGTTAAGTTCATTTAAGTTTGCTTCTCTAAATGAATCTAAGCTTTGAAAACCCTTTCATAAATGCATCAATAGGCAGGCCTTAGAGCTATAGATGGCATATTCAACCTTTAATGAAAGGAAAAAATAATGCTCAGAACATTGCATAAGCCATGTGCTCATCCTGAAAATCATGTCATTGGCTAGAATAACTTCTCAATATTAGGTGTATAACCGACCTTAATTAATTGGAAAAAAGTTATGATAATGATGGTGATGATGATAAACTTCTCAATACTAAGTGATTGCTTCGATCATTGGTTGAGAACTTGAGATGCCAGGCTAAGGAAATTTCTTGGTACCCAGATATTAAACTATAGGATCCTGACTAGTCACCTTCCTAAGCCTATCCTAAACATAAAACTCAGTGCCACTTAAAATTCCATACCTTAAACCGCTTTAGAGACCATATTAGTACACAATGCACACATACCCATGCTCTATGCATCCTTAGCAGCAACCTATAAATTTAATTAACTTTTAACAAATTTAGTTATGCCAAGACCCTCCTAATTAGCCTTGATCATTAGGAGAACCAGCCCAATTAGGCTAATCTACACTGTAAACCTTCCAAATTAGGTTTAAACCACTTAGAAAAACCTTCCCAATTTGACCTAAACCCTAGGATAATTCTGGCCCTTATTCTGCCCATAGTCACCCATTAAACCCCAAAACTACCCTAAACTCAACATTTCCCTTCAAATTATGAAGAAAATAAAAATAAAATTATTAAAAGGAGATTAAACACCCATAAAACCCCTTAAACCCCCACAACTCTAGGTCCGATTTATAGGCCCTAAGCCTATAATAATCCATTCTAGACCTATTTAGGGTCAAAACCTTGTTCTTTTGGACCCTCGAGCTCGTTTTTCCAGTCTGACTGCATCATGTTTCTTATCATCTTATACCACTACTCCAGGGCTCTTACTGATCTTATCTGAAATTTGCATGAACACCCTTGTGAGGCCCTAAACATGGATTGCTATCATAGTTTGCAGTACTTTCAAACATCTCAAAAACAATTCAAGCCTACAAGCCACTACTCTAGGGCCATTCTGAACACTAAACAACCAAAAAGAATGCAGAAGCACAAACTCCAGCATTCTGAAATCTTTCCAGGGCCAAGAGCGTCTATCATTTGAGCATCAAATGGAGCACAAGGTTCACCATGCAGTCTGTGTCGTTGGTGCTATTTTGACCGGTGTCAGAGGCCCTTGTCTCAGACATCCTGCTCTCAACTTTGCTTGCTTCTTCCCTATATTTTGTTGCGTGCTGCCCACTAAAACACCTCGCACCATGTGCATGAGTGCTCTCTTCCACACAATTAAACACACATAAGCTCATCAATCTGAAATTTTATTCAAATATTTGTAAAACCTCCAAATCGCTGAAGGTCAAGAGAGGCGCCTAGCTCTTAAAGGTGGGACAGTTGAGAGAGCATATCACTAAAGGGATGACCCTTTTGCGTATTTCCTTCCTACAGGGGCACCCATTTGCCAGTAGGATCTCATACCTACCCATAATTGTCCGCTCGGTCCAAACTAAGCTTGGGTAAGAACGTCAACTGCTTTTTCAGTTTTTTCCATCTAGGACACATCCCCCTTTGACTTTGCCCATTGAATCATAGGTCAAAATTTCAACTGTTTCCTTGTGGTGCATGCTTAGCGAGCATACACAATGTCTCATGACCAAGCCTAGGTGGTGCCAGTGCAAAATCCACAGCCTCATCAGTGATGATATGACGACATGGGTAAGGTTATTCATGCTGGTGATATTAGCAGTGATGGAATGCTAAGGTATTATTGGTGGTTGTGGTTTTTCTCTCCTCCCTGATGATGGTCGTGTGGTCATGTTGCTGGCAGTATTGGCAGTCGTGGTGGTCTCTCATCAGCCCCTAAAGGTGGCAGGAGGGTGGTGATGGAGGGAGACTCGGCAGTAGTGGTGGTGGGCTCTCTCTCTCTCTCTCTCTCACATATGCAAATGGATAATTGATGTCGCCATGGTGACTTGGGGACATGAAATACTCAACGAATAAAAAAAATGCCCATCCTTTTCATTCACTAAGAGTGGATGAGGTAATGAGATTGCATAAGACGTGGTAGGGACAAAACCTTCATCAAGTAACCACGTGAGTTTTAAGTGATAGAACTAAATTTATTAAAATACTTGTGAACCGAAACTAGAGTTAGAAGATGAAGTCGCAGAGCTGGGTATTCTTTTCTCTTGGCATTCCTCTGCTGACAAGGTATGCACTGTCGTCTATGTCTGAACTAGGGCAATTCATCCTGTGCCTGTACACAAAAATGAGATCAAACAGAAAATCAAAGAATGGCATTAGGATGGGGGAATTATCCATGAGAGGGGGAATTATCCATGAGAAGGCCAATCTCCTCCGTGTATTAATCCTTTTAAGCAATGGTTAGATAGTTTCCAAGGTCGCATCAAGCTGAAGTAAGGTTCAATCACAGCTGATGGATGGTAGAGAAGAGATTTGTCATGGCATTTATATGATTAAGGCTTTTCATAAAATAATAACTATTAAGAACGTGGTTACTGACCACGTGAAGTGCTCATCACAGCAAATAGAACCCCATATGACCTTGAGTCCAGCTCCGTACCTGCACAGAGCACTGAGTTGTTTACATGTACCCAAGAGGTACTGAGGCCACTCGAGAATGCATATTAAAAATAAGAGTAATTAGACCACTTTATCTTTGCAGAACTGCCATGGTAACTAATACGAGTTTGTCTAGAAAATCAAATATCTCATTTTGCCAAAAGTATTACTTACCAAGTCGCTGTGCACATATTGTAGTACTTGTCAAACGCCTTGTTAAAGCAGTGGTGGCATATTAAGAGTTCCTTAATGTTAGTCACATCACAAGTTGATTTACAGCACTTCACCTGCAAGACAATGTATATGAGTGTTAAAATAGATATAACGATAAACCTAGTACTACCTACTCATGAAAGTACAGGTGGACTTAATTGGATATATAAAGAATTATCATGATATAGAGATCAACATAGTTATCATATTTGGCACACATTCTCATCTTTTTTAATCTCAATGGCCTGCCAATGGTAGCAACACCCAAGAAGTATCATAATTAACTGTTTTACCATTACATTTGAAGATGCCATTTTGGAAATAGTTTATAGAGAGGGGATCCAGCTAGTGCTTAGGAACAGTAGCACCATGAGGAAAATCGTCTATGCCATCGTTTGGGTTTCAAATAGTTTAGTAGCAGTTCTTGTCAACACAAAACGGTTAAGTGACTTGTTTGTTCGCTCACTCCAAACAAAGAATTGGACAGAGGAAGGATGGGGGCTGTAAATAGGTCGGATTCTGATTGAGTCAACCCCAACCTGGACTTGACCTGACAGGACCCAGGTAAGACCTGGACCAAAACTGGGCCCTGCTCTAGCACAGTCGAAGTTGAGAT